TGACCTGACCGTGGATGAGTTCCATGATGACACACTGTAGCCAATCTGCGAAACTTGCAAGGGCGTACCTGTGCGTCCGCACCGGTGAAAAGTGGAATCCACAATTCCTCGTTGACCTCAACATGTGTATGTATCTTGCTAATCCGTCCACCTTCATTCTGGAATCGTCCGAGCTGGATCATCAACACCGGGGGTAGCACTGTAAAAGCATGCACATCTTCTTGTGCATGCCACGAATCCACCAACGACTGTACCTTACATGTGGGTGTAAGCCCCGGTGGTGTGTTGAGCATGTACAACATCAGTGGCTGAGCGCTATGCCCCGTGTCCTTGGTGATCCCCGCCCCATGAAGAAAAGTTCGAGCTTCCCATGTGCCTTCCACAAGTGGTAGTCGATGTTTGTCATTTATGAAAGACGCAAACTCCACCACATCATGCTGACGGTGCCGGTCCTGCCACCCACTGATCATCGTATTCCACATGAGATCCCTGACGAGTTGCACTGGCCCCGATCGAACACTGTCAAGGAGCTTGCGAAAGAAGTGAGCCCCGCGCCCCAGGAGATGATATTGCAGCTCATTGCCGTCATCAATTGCCCATGCCAATGCCTGCACGAAACTATTCATGTAGCAAGCGTTGCCACTGTTTCCGAGCACCAGCCTCAGCGCTGGCCGAGGAGTTCCCTCAGCTTCTGAGCCAGTAAGCCCCGTCTCAGACCCGCCCGCTTGTATGCAAGCCCCACCAGCTGCAGGACGCAGCATGCCTCGAGCTTCTCCATGTGCTCCCATGCCTCGATCCCCGCCCCTCTGCCAGAAAGATCGAAGTAAAAGCTGGCCTGGTTCTCCATGGTCTCCGTGAGTTTCCGTGTGCAGCTGAAGCGAGTTACTACTCCTGTTTTGGCTGCTGCGTAGAGCTTCTCGAGGGAGTGCTTCACCTCGGCTGTGGTGAGCGGCTTGCGGTCCTTGTCTTCCTGCAGGATTCGAAGCTGGGGGTTCCATGCCTGAAATTTCCACGCCAGCTCTGGCGTGGCCCATCCCATGTCGACTACTTCCTTGAGCTTGGCCTGGTCCTTTCCCAACAGCTCGAGACGGCTGGCAAGCTCCCGAAAGAGAGCCAGTGCCAGTACTTGATGGGCCGGCTGAAATCCTGTTCCCCAAGTGGGCGACTCCGCTTGCTTCTTTTTGAAGAGGGTTGCCGTCTTGCCTGGCTTCATGAACATCATGAACGAATGATCTTGTTTGAGAACCTGCAGTTCTTCCTCCTGTCGCAGTGCCAGTCTGGCTAAAGTAGTCACCAATTCGTCGTTTTTGCCCTCCTTGTTCTTCTGAGCCTGGCCCTTGCCCTGCCCCTTGCTGTCCTCTGTCGGCCTGCGACGTTTGAGAGACTGTTCCTGAGAGACTTCGCCGAAGAACTCGTTGAGGTCCGGATCTGCTAGCATCCTGCGTGATGTGCACTAATACAGAGCATTGCCATGCCACTGTGCATTTAAGCAGGTGCTCCTTCCAGTCTCGACAGGTCGCGCCACAGTAGTGGCAAGTAGGACTGGCTGTGGCCGCTCTCTGCACTAAGGTTTTGAGTTTGTTCCCGAACACCTGTAAAATGTCTGGATGTGAGTACTGGTAGTGTCTCTTAACCGTACGGTGTGAAGTACACCACTGGCCACAGAGCACACAGTGCTGTCGCATTAGTGGTCTGATGTCGGATAGCTGTATAAAGGCATTGATGCCCTTCTGTGAAGCTCGAACCACCTCCGTGCGCTGACACAGCACCTGAGTTGTAGCATTCAAGAGGTTTGTCGCAGGCATGTTCATGTGTGCATCAGCTTCCTGCACCGGCATCGGCTGCACAATCATCTGCGGACAGCTGTTCTGATTGATGTGCTGGGCCAAAGTCTGCCACTTGGAGAACTTTTTGTGGCACTTACTGCATGTAGGCAGCCCCCCCAATGCGTGCTCAGCCTTATTGAAGACTACTGGGTGCTCGTCTATGATGTCATGTGCACGACGGGCATGCGTTTTCAGGGCCGCTGCCGTACCGAACGTGGCCTCACATTTGGTCATGGCCCGGTGTAACGCCCACATGTGTTTGGCAGAGTTAGCAAGCGCCTCTGGCTGATCTGGTTGTCGTGGTGGACGAGGTGGAAGCGGGTAATGCTTGTTGGCTGCCTGAATGAGCACTTCATTGGCATCTCCGATTTCGCGAAGCCTTGCCGACACCTCCTGTCGCAATGCCGTCAGTGAGGGGGTCGCTTCCGCCTGTTGAGCATCGCGAGGTAGAGCATCTTGACCAAATCTAACTACTGATGCCTGTGGAAGCCGAGGTTTGGGCACAAGTCTGGGCACCGGGATGCGAGCCTCGACCGGGTGATGGTTGGCTCCCTCTCTCCATGCTGCAACCGGAAACTGATCTATGACCTGTGCCCGCCTTGCTTCGGAGTTGGCCTGTCGGGACCTGACCATCAAATAATCAATTTGCGACGCCAAGCTGCCAAAGGTGAACGTGGCTAGTTGCCCATGACGAGGCTTGCACCATGTGTTGAGGGCAACAAGGTTCAAGGTCTGGACGACGTTTTCGTGGTCCCTGTAGTCCTTGTATCGGATGGGGTTATGCGGTAGAACACAGTGTCCGCACTGTGGTGGATGGGGCTCAAGTGGGCAATTAAAGTCGCCTCCCAAGACGACCGAATTCCGTTGAGGTAGACCTGCAACGCATTTTTGGAGCTTAGTCAAGAGGCCCATGCGACGTTCATAGACTCCGTCTGAGTCGCTTGCTGCATACTGATAGAGGTTCACAATGTCCACATGAGATTGCCCTCGGGGAATTCTAATGTGGTTCAGGCGGCCAGGGTGTACTTCATGGTGTTGGAGATCTGAGGCTGCGACGATCGATGTGGAGACCATGGTCAGCAGACCTGCAACCGAGTCTGTTTTGGACTGCCCTTGGCTGTGCACACAGACATAATCGCGCCCACTCCACATTGAGGTGTGTCGCCACTTTGTTTCCTGGATCATCACTATGTGGTACTTCCCCAACCTAATGCAGGTTTCCAATTCTTGGTACACCTCTTTGGTGAGCCCCCCAGAGTTCCAACAGAGCACTCTCCACCCCTCCGGATTTGTGCTGGGTGCTCG